GCTCATATTAGGCCAGAGCAGTGGGCCAGCTAGTCACTATCCCATCTCTGAAAAGGACGAGTCCCAGTAATCCAGCAGACAGTGCAGGAATCCCCGTAATTCCAGAGAGGTTGCTGCCTTTCCTGGGAATGGGTTAACAGTGAGCGTCGTCTCTATAGAGTTAATCCAAGTTACTTTCCTTGAGTTTACCTATATCAAGTGCAAGTGACTACACTGTGAAAACATCACACTGGTTGTCTTCACAGATGATGCACTCATACATGTATAGTGATAGAAATGTAGCCGTGTTAGTCCGGTGTAGCTGAAACAAAACACAGAACTATGTAGCACTTTAAAGACTAACAAGATGGTTTATTAGGTGATGAGCTTTCGTGGGTCAGACCCACTTCCTCAGATCAAATAGTGGAAGAAAATTGTCACAACCATATATACCAAAGGATACAATTAAAAAAATGATCTTAGTGAACAATCCATTAAGATCATTTTTTTGTATTGTATCCTTTGGTATATATGGTTGTGACAATTTTCTTCCACTATTTGATCTGAGGAAGTGGGTCTGGCCCACGAAAGCTCATCACCTAATAAACCGTCTTGTTAGTCTTGATAGTCCTGGTTTTTGTTTCATGCATGTATGGCACTCTGGGATGAATCCTATCAGGATTTTTCCCACTACAGTAAGTTGAGCAGCTCTTTTTTCCCCCCTCCTCAGGGAATTAGAGGAAAAATTGTCTGTTCTTTCTGGGCATACAAGAGGAAGGCATTAGAAAACTAGTAGCACTCTCAAGTAGGGCAAGCTTGGCTCCAAGCTACCGAGCTGTGGTGTTAGCAGCAGAAAAATTGGCTGGGCCATCAAGGGTACAGAGGTAAAGTGCAACTGAATAAAATGCCAATACGAGACAAGGGCTTGTGGGTGGGAATAGGACACAAGTTAACAACAACACTCACATTTACATTAGCTTTGAATCCCTATAGTGTAATAAACTTTTATGATTGATTTCAGTGAATATGTACTGTAGGTTGAAGAGTGCCTTTAGGTATCAGAATATAGAAATTGGATTAATTTTACAGGCAGTTGGGGGTCACTCTACCTTAGATTAACAGGTTGCCAGTTAACTCAAGGTAAAGGTTAGTGGGGTCACTCCTCACTTATAGGGCACAGTGAGTCCATGAAGTGCCACACTTGCTTTCACAAAAGGTGTGAAATACCTTAATTTTACATAATAAGTCTAGTGAAGACACCCTTACAAAGGAAGCATGTCATTTACCTTTGCATCCCTGACAACCCCTCTTCAAATGAAGAACTTGGGAGTCCTGCATCACTTTAAAGACTAACAGATTAATTTGGGCATAAGATTTCATGGGCAAAGACCCACTTCATCAGATGCATACAAGGTCTTTGCCCTTGAAAGCTTATGCCCAAAAACATCTACCTTTAAGGCACCACAGGATTCCGCGTTGTTTTTGCAGCTACAGACTAACACAGCTACACCTTGGAGACTCTTCAAATTTAATGTCTGGCTCTTACCTGCACATTGACTCTTCCCATTCCAGGGTCAACAAGATTACATTATTTGCCCAGGCCCAGCCCCAGGGATGTTAAATTTTGATTAATTGGCTAATCGAGTAGCTGAAATTTGCATCGACTATTCAATTAGTCAATAAGGGCACCGTCACCTTTGAAGTGTAGCAACAGCCCCAGGTCTGTTGCTACACTTCAAAGGTGAGAGCACCATGGGGAGCACAGGGCCAGCAGGGCACTCAAGTAGCCCCCACTGACCCCTTGCTCCCCACTGTGTTTGAAAGCGGCAGCACCGCATGGAGCCCAGGGTCAGCAGGGGAGTCCTCAGCTGGCCCCGGGCTGTACGTGGCATTTCAAAACAGTGGCACCATGTGGAGTCGAGGGTCTGGCCCCAGGCTCCATGCAGCGCTGCCACAATGAAGCACCCCGTCCTCTTGCCCCACCCTTGCTGCCTCTATCGAAAGAGGCAGCAAGGGTGGGGAAGTGACTAGTCGACTAGTGTGTTGATTGGATAGAAGTGCTGTGGGCTCCTCACAGGGCTGGGGCAGGGCAGAGGAAGCTTCACGCAGCTCCCCCACTGCCCTGTTTGGCCTGGGGGTGGGGGAGTGCACGAAGCCTCCTCCACTCTCCCCCGCACCACGCGAGCAGTGTGCAGTGCTTCAAAGCACCACGTGCTCCTGGCAGGGCGGAAGGAGGCTGCCCCGCATCCAGGTCAATTAGCGAAGCCTTCTCCGCTCTGCCCCCATCATGCGCCATGCACTACTCGGAGGGTGGTGGTAGAGCGGTCCGCTCTGCCCCCATCATGCGCCATGCACTGCTTGGAGGGCGGTGGTAGAGCGGCGAAGGCTTCGGGCACTGGATCCACCTGCTTGGCAGGCCAGATCTGACCCACGGAGGCCCTTTTGCCCACCCCTGAGTTAGAGACAATCGTGTAGCCACTAACATACAGAACAAGAAATGGAACCTGTGATTGTTAGAATTGGAACTCTGCTTGCTCTTTGCCATTCCCACTTTGGATACCAGATGCAGTGACGGAAGAAGAGTAACATAGTCCATTATGATTATGTCCCCAGAACAGCGAGAGTTTTGAACTACAGTGTCATTTTGTAGTTACAATGTCCAAATTAGTGTTCAAACATTTGGAATTTAACCAGAATACGTCAAAAGACTCAGACAAGCCACTTTAATAATAGGCCAATTTTTATTGGTAGTTAAAATCATATTTGTTTCTTCATGAAGTGCAAGATGCACCATGAAACCAAAATACAGGAGGTTGTGTTCTTAAATACACATTGGTTAAGCAATGCTACTTTTTGGCGAAGTGCTGTATTTTGTTGTTGTTCAGCTTCTATCAAATTGCCTATTCAAACAAAGAGCCAGACAACCTTAATATCAAAAGAACTGCTACACATAGAGAAAGTGGCCCCAGAACGAAGCTGCCATATATGCATAGATTGATGTACAGTATTTATCTTCTCTGAAATCTCCCTTTTGAATGTTCAAGTTTGTGGTATACAAGTTAAACCTAGAAGGCACAATTTTGTTTACAACACATCTGTCTATTGACTGATACATACAGAAACACAGTTTCAACAAAATTAATGAATCAGCATCTGAGACAGTGAAAGGCCTCCAGGTTTACAAGAAACAATATGTTTTACTACTGTTCAAAAACCATATAAAAGCCACACAACTTACATACTACTAGAGAACAACAACAAAAATCTGCCCAAGAACTCCAGGCACAAAACAGAACAAGTAACATAAATATGCAAGATAAAAATTAACCAAAAAGTCACTGATGAAGTACTGTATATATATATCATACAAAATAGCCTGGTTTCCAATAGTAAGAATTGAGAGGCACAGCTTTTGTGCAACAAAACAATTTATATCCTGAAAGATATAGAATTTTCATCACTAGAAAGATATCCAGTAATATAGTATAAAAGGATTAGTATCTCCCAGTTTTTAGGAGCAGTCTAAAATTGCATTTACTTGCCAACTAAACAAAGGAGGCTCCAATTCTAA